GAGAGAGAGAGAGAGAGAGAGAGAGAGAGAGAGAGAGAGAGAGAGAGAGAGGAAGCGAAAAGAGTGCAAATAAAAAGAGTTGGTGCCAAGAGTCGAAAGTACATCGACAGCATATTTTCAGCATGGTCGTGCGAAACGAGACGTGAAGAAAGACAAAACAACAAGAATCAATCGATCAGAAGAGCAAACGGGGGGCTACGGCAAATCCATGTTGAATGCAAGAAGGAAATGGTTTGGCATGCTTTTGCTTATAAAGAGAATATTATTTGCATATTATGTATGAACTGATGCAATATTTTGTCTCGTGTCTTTTGTACATCAAGTAAGTTCGTGTCAAAGAGAAAAGAGAATGAACGTTGCGAAAAAGGAATATACTGTAATATGACATTGATTACACATTACTTGAACCATAAGAGCAATAGCACACACTTTGACAGGAAGAAATTCTGGTAACAGCAGACGAACAAAAAAAGGCACACATACCTCTCCCGGCATCAACGCATACAGTGCGCTCGCTGTTGACACCGAAACACACAACTCGAAGTGCCTGCAGTGCAACAATGACAACACATTGCACATTTTAGTTATAATATTGTTGAATAAAATCGAAACAATGATGAAATGATGTGCAACAGCATGTGTCTCGATATGTGCCGTGTAAGTATCGACACAACCAAAAAATGTGCGAACGAGTGCAAAGTATTTTTGACGTGTACATTTATTGTTTAAATTGAATCGATGAGAGATGCGGAACAGAGATAGGGATGTTGTGCACAAATATATGATTTTGTGTATCGATAATTTTACGCATTTCTTTCAAAATGTGCACCATTAAAATGAAGGTACTCTTAGCAAGCATTCCATCCGGGAATCGACACCTTTTACCATTTTATATGAAGCAAATATATCGCATATGACAGGCGAATGAAAGCCATATTCTCGAGATTTATTCGAGAGATGATCATGTACTTCACACAAAAAAAAGTGACGTCGAATCGAATATGCTCAAAATTTTAAGTGGAATAAACCACACATTAGCTATACACTCATTCAACGTATCGACACTGATCCGGTATGCATGTATGTGGTCCTCGGAGTTCGAGAAAAGAAAAAAATGCATTTTGTAAATGCGATACAACAATCCAGCGCATTTATATAGAGTACGTACCAATAAATTGATAAAAAAAATAAGCGGAAAAGGCATAAGTTCAAGTAAACATCATTGTCATAATGTACACAAAATTGCCCGAGAATACATCGACTTATAACATGCAAAACATGCATTAATGTTACACACTGTACACAATACACATTTTCCTAGTGTGTGTTTGTGTCATGTTCTGGTTGCTTTTTTTCTCTCTTTCTTCACTCGTTTGTTGCTCCTTCGTACCATGAAAATTCTTGCCGAAACGCCAATTCGCAAAATGCATTCAACTCTGTGTGTGTATAGATCGTGTATATTTCAAAACCGAGATACAATATAAACAACGGGCGGATGGCCCGTGTTTGCTGTTTGTACATGCCAGATAAGCATCTATTTTGCTTCTAACTCTTGCCGAACAACAAAACACGTGTACATTTCAGCCACTCTCTCTCTCTCTTTCATTCACTCGTACTTCCAAGCTATCCATTTATTTTAGCAATAACAAACGACTGTTGTATTGCCGAAATACATTTCAAATACACTTCGAATTTACTCTTGAATTATTGTGTTTATTTTGTGATTCAAAGTTTTGCGCGTCAACATTAAAATCAGTTCAGAATTGTGTTGTTGTGTTTTTTTTTTGTGCTCCCCTGAAATTCCAATAGAACAATGGCACAGTGTTCAGTCAATCATCCAATGCAAATACGGCGTCATTAATTTGTCTATAAAATGTCATTTATAAATGGGTCGTTCGATAGAACAAAGTATATTTAAATTGAAGAAAAACGATAATGAAAAACAAATGCACGCACGCATCATGTCATCATGAAAAATGGTTATTTGACTCTCGAGCTGTCGGTGTGCATGTGCATCGAATTTGTCCGTAAATTTGTATCAATAAAACATATGATGGACTTTTATTGGCCATATGAAAAGTTCACCGAATTTTTATGGGTTTCAAAAGCACATAGAAAAAAACGCATCTCGCAATCCAATTCGATATATTTATACTGGAATTGTTCCATTTCATCAAACAAAAAAAGTAGCGACAAGTAATCGATGCAATCAATTACAACGTATAAAAAGGCAAATATAAAAATAAAATGCGACTTTGATTGTTTCATTCGGATGTTGGTGTTTGCATGTGTGAGAGAGTGCATGCAACTTCAGCTTGATGGTTATTTCTATTTTTGGTACGCTTTTCAAGTCATTCGCTCTGAATATTGACCAAAAAGTAAATCGATTTGATGCATTACTCTATTTCTCTTGGGCTACGATTTTTGTCGCTCTCGTTGTCTCTTTCAGCGTCTCGTTCACTTTGCACAACACATTTCAACATAAATTTTCAATCGTGCGACGCGCTATTTTATAAAATATTTCGGCCAACACACACAGTTGCATATATATTCAAGTTAACATGTCAATTTTTGTGTGTGGTATTTATATTTGAAGAGAAAAAGAAAGATAGAAGAGAGGAGAGAGAGAGATTGAGCAGTAAACACTGGAAACGATTTGTAGTTGTGGGTCTCCATCTATTCGATTCTCCATCTCTGTCACAATAAATTTTATTCATTCAATATGATTTCGATTTTCGGTTACAGCTGTGTGTGGCTGCTTTTTTTCTCTCTCCCTCTTTCTCTCCCTTTTTGAATTCTTGGGTTTTCAAATTGGATCGTTATTTTTATTTGGATCGTGTTGTTGTTTTTCTCTATTTATCGTCTGTTTCTCAATGCGCTTCATAAATTCCAAGTGGTATATTTGAAGACAGCGCTGTAATATTGTACGAATTGGTCGTGTACAAGTCGTCGTTGTATTTTAATTTCTTTTTTTCCGAGGACTCGATGACAAACATTTGGACTGTGGAGAATTTATGGACTTTTTTTTCCAAATAAATATCCAACAAATGGAATGTGTATACGGTTCTTTTTTTTTTTCTTTTTTCGGTCTCTTGTTGTATTTCAAAATCATAAAAACCATTTTCGAGTAATCAATTCTCTGTGGCGAAACAGACCGAAAAAGTCACATGTAAGTCACAAATGAAATGTTCTAATCCACCTTCATAGATGGAATCTAATGTCATTTATAGATCACTTTTGGGATTCATCGTTTCATTTGAAATGGTCTCTCAATTGAATAATTTCAATAAAATAAACCAGCAATGCAATATAGAAACACAACATCCAAAAAATAAATCGTCTACGCTATAAGGAAAGATGGATAAAAAGTGCCGATGAAAAAGTGATGACATTGAAATATTAATGATCTTGTGGTTTTGTGGATGACATATAGTTGTATGTGTGTGTGTGGAGCGGATATTTGTTGTATGTTGTATTGGGGGCGTATATGACAAGCGCAACACAAAAATTGAAAAATCATAGAAGTGAAACTAATCGTCTCGAACATGATTCACACATTCACACATTTTTATTGGGTCATCGCGCTTTGATCTTTGTCGAAAATAGCACATAAATATACAAAATGGCATTAAAAATATACTTGTTATTTTACACAACATTTACTGCGCTGAAGATAAGAGTGCGCCTTACATCGATGTATAATCGAGAGTGCAGTGGAAAGACGTGAGCCATAAACGATGTATAAGTATCAGATTGTTTGAAAACGATGACGATCATTTTGTTTCATTTCAAAAAATTGAGAAGAAAAACATGCATGCACACACACATAACGCCAAAATAAGAAGCCATAAACTGGCGCATGCAGCGGAAACGATAAAAACCGATTTTCATTGAAATAGTTTGTGCAATGCACACAGACACGAATATATTACGACCGGATTCAATGAGAAAATGGTCATAATTTAACTACAAATATTGACAAAGATGGTAAAAAGTGAGTCGCATAACCAACATGTGATGTGAACTTCAGTGCGAGCATTGCAAAATGTCACAATTGTGATATCGAAATGTGATTCATTGTGTGCATCGGCATTCAACAATGAGAACACGTTTCAACTCTACGCAATCGTTGGTTTTGTTTCTTTCGCTAAAGTTCGACAGCCATGCATAATCATGCGCTTACACACACACATAAAAGATTAATATAACGACGACGAAAAAAAAGACCAGAAGCAAAGAAAGTGAATGATTAACCCGTTAAGTGTCGCTGACACTCATACGAATGAAAGCGATACACTCAGAAGAACCGAATGAAATGAAATCAAATTAAAGCTAATTAACTTTGACTGGAAACGGAAAGAGAGATTTGACGATTGCCGCTGCGTCGGCAAGAGTGTGTATGTATGCATGGAATTGAATGAAGGAGAACCAGAAAAAAAAGAGAAAAACATGTGTTTAACAAGCTGTATTTTTCCACTTACCATTTGTAACAGCAATTAAATTCATCCATAATCCCAATAATAGTAAAACTAATCTCGTTTTACAGTGTGACTGCCGCTTCAATTGGCCATGTGTCAAACGGATATTCTTAACACGTTTGTGCAATTGTACACTAACAACGCCATCGATGTTGGTGCCGCTGCCGTTGCCGCCGCCACCGCTGTCGATGACTGTCGAAGGCTGTAACATTCTGAATATCGATGTGCAATCCATCATTATTGCATTTATATTTCGCATACACTTCCTTTCGACGTGTCTCAATGTTTGCCTTCTATTCACACAAGTCTGTATTCGTCTGCTTATTCGTATTCGTCGTACTGCAATTGTTCTTGTTTTTTTTATTTTAATTTTATTATTTTAACGTAAATGTCTTAAGTTTTATGCTTAACATTAATCTCGTTATCGACGTGAAAAGACATAATTTTCATGTTTCTTTTCGAAATTTTAGATTTTTTTCTTCGTTTCTGTTCTTTTTCTGAGTTCTTTAAGTTTTCACAACCTAATAAATCGACGGTTGGATTTTAATTTGATGGATGCTTAATGCCAATTTATTGTGTTCGTTTTCTGTTTTTTTTTTCCTTTCGTCTTCTTTTAAATCGATCACTCGTTCGTCGATAATTTTATGTATTTCGATTTATATTTGTGTACATATGTTTCTTTTTTGTTTTGCAAAAGTGAAAACAATTTTCAAGTCAGTGCAATTAAAATTTTATTTCGATATTTTGCATGCAACTAACAATTCTTATGCAATACACACATCGCACTTGACACCCATTTTGCTTGAAAACAATTTGAGAATTCATTTCAGAGAATATTTTAACGTTTCGTGCACAATTCTTTTTTTAGTTTCGTTTCTGTTTCAATGTTTGTTCCACTCTTAATTTATGATTTTTTCTTTTTCGCAATTATAAATAAACTTGTCGGGTTGAAGTGTGTCGATTCAGTTGAATTTTTTCTTTGCACCGTTGTTCATACACTTTTTGAAGTTGATGTTGCTTTTTCTATCGTCCTCTTGGCACTATCTCACTCTCTTTTTTTTGTCTGACGATGGTTACCATTGACGAGAGTATGCGATGTTGAAAAAACCAAATGCAAAATAGAATGGTTAGGATACCGTCGAGTGCGAACCAAAAACCACCTGAAGTGCGATATCGAATGCTTCGGTGCGTGATGAATACGAAATTAAGGAAAGAACGGATCAGGATGAAATCAGAATAGCAAAGAAAATGCCACTGAACCGTGATTTAGTTTGGTATCAACGACGATAAATGTGGCGCTAAATCGTTTCTGTGGCGGTGTTATTTATTTGATCACACATTGAAGCTGATTTTCTTTGGCTTCTTCTACACGTAGCCGTACCTTTTTCGCGTCTCTTTCACTAAAATCTCCTTTATACTTGATATCAGTTATTGGACGCCGTATTGTGGCCGTGACTCCAGAGAAAAAAAAAACAAGGACTTGATTTAGAGCAATTCACTGGGATCGCTTCACATTGCGACCACAAATTTGTGTATGTATGTGACAGCAGTGAATTTGTGTGCGTATAATTGCTTAAATTTCGAATGCTGAGCAAAGGATTTTTTTGTGTGTGTGTGGATAGATTTTATCACGCTGACACCATCAACGCTGCATTTTCCGTTCCCAATTTCGCCAAACTAAACGAGATCTGCAGATATATATTATTTCAAACGAGGCTCGTCTTGAATTTCACGGGATTTGGTACCATCGAAGTAACTTTGTCGGCGCTTGTCGTTGAATCAAAACACAGAATTTTTTTTTAACGAACCAATGCGATAAGAATGATTCTCTCGTACTTTTTTTTTCTTTTTTGTTCACCGTGTGTGTTAATTTATTTCTTCGGTGAATTCGTTAACAAATTGTCCATACAATGGAAATGAAACGGATTCTTATATATAAAAGTATGTGCTGGTTTTTTTTTGTTTCAAACGTTTATATAAACTGGAGTTCTTTTTTTTCACACTGCGAAGGTCAAACGATACTCTTGCTTGCGAAAATTATGCGCGTGTTTTTTTCTCTCAACACGATCCAGCAGGAGTGACGTGAATTCAAAAAGAAATCTATATGCTGTTGAAATGAAAACCCTCGCGGTGAATTTATGTGTCGATATACACACACGTATGGCTTTGATTCGATCTTTCGAATGTTGGGTGTTCGCTTATTTATGGTGTGTGTATGCGTGTATTTTTCCCCGCTGTTGTTATTTGGCGTCAATCTCTTCGATATGTTGTTTCTGTTGTTATTGTTATAGCGGCCGTGCCAATGTGCGCTGAAACGATAAGAGCAAAAAAAAGAAAATAAAAATCAATAACAATTTCAAGAGCAATGTAGAAAATATTTATATTCGAACGAATGTGAAGCGTTGAATTGTTGATGAAAACCTTTTTCCATTGGATTTATTTTAAACGATAACAAAAATGCATTTAAATGTATTAAAGGAATGTGTAATTCAATTCACAAAATAAAAAGAGATACGAAAAAAGAGCTGAGAGAGAGAGAGAGAAAAATAATGTGTATATCTCTAATGGGCATTTTAATGCATTGATTTTGGGCCTAATGGCATATTCATATCACTTTAGAATTGAAAAATTATGTTAATGATGAAAGCAAATATTACATGCTCATGTTAAATGATACGCGATGGTGCGAGAGATATACAATTTCACACAGTCGTCTCTCTACCTTCCTCCAGCCCGCTCTTTCTCTCTCTCTCTCTCTCTCTCTCTCTCTCTGAATCTAAATTTTTGTCGGAGCTTGTGAATTTCAATTTCAACAATAAGCGAGAACAATGCCGGAAAAAAGTGGTACGAACAACGCACCAAATCGAATTGAGTCTCGTTCTCAAATTCCAAAATTCAATTGTTTCCATGTACACGTGTGCGTTTGGGAAATTCGGTGAAAATTATTTATTAAAATTTTATTGAGCCAACACTTGAATAGCGAACACATTTTTGCTGTTTGATTGCTACTTTAGCCGGCGTACGTGCAGCATGTGTATGTTATTGATGAATTCAAAAGGTACAAATGTGGCGGTGTGAGGCCGAACGACAGATTCAACTCACGAGCATATTTAATAATGCCGTTAATTAGTCGAATTTCAAAACTAATTAGCCCAACAAAATTCAATTTTTATCCCAATGTCAGCGACTATGCCAAGTGGTCGTTTGCTCTCTCTCAATCTCTCTCTCTCTCCATCTTTCCCCTTTCATTTCCTCTTGCTATGTACCAATGTATGACGAATAATAAAACAAGAGAATCGTACTCGAAATTTGTTGAATTAAAATAGAAAATTTATGGAAATTTTTCCGTTAATTTGCGAATTCGATTCGATTGTACTCGAATTTCATTTTAACAATTCATGGTTGGTAGGTATTTTTTTTATATTTGCTCGACCACCGCACGACGATTCGATAAAAAACTTTTTACTTGTGTTCACATTGGTATGCGCAAGGAAGCAAAGCGAGGAACATACATATATATATGTATATCGAAGCACAAAATATGCAGAGATCAACTTTTTAGTGCCAAAAAATAAAATGAACGATTTAATAAATGCCTGCCGTCGTCCTCATTATTAACTTTTTGAAATATATGTATGTTGTTTGCGCGTACTCTCTTTCGCCAAATTTGTTCAGATTCATTCATTTTTCGATTGTTTGTTCGTTGCGTAAATCGGTAAAGTTATTATTTTTCGGTTACAACCGCATATACACATGATACACGTAAATATCCCGAAATAATACACGAAAGCTGATAATAGTTGAACCACCAAACAATGCATAAAACCGCTTGAGAAACTTTTTCCGTCAATATGTCGAGCGGCAGAGAAATAGGTAAAATTTGTATAATATTCATAGTACGAAAACGCTTCCACTTATTAGTTTGCAACATCGTTATAATTAAATTGTTTAATATAGCTCATATCCATACGCTCATTCTGCATTCCATGCATATGAGATGGTTCGATGAAATGCCAAACTCATGCAAAAACTACTCTTTCGAAACTCCAATAGTTTTGATTAAAATTTCAAATTGCTTCTTAATTTAAATTTCTTTTTTCACATTTTGTGTGTGCATGAGAGAGTATTTTTGTGCATTTTCGGCTCGGTGTTTCATCGATAAAATTGCCTGTAGTTATGATGATGTGTGTTGTTGATGACCAATTTGCACAAAACATTGCGATTTTGACCATGTATTTTGTCACATTGGATCATCGCATAGTTTTTGCTTGAATTCATATCGTTGCGTCGTTTAATGAATTCATTCTTCTGTCAAATTTTGTGTTTGCAATTGTGTGTGTTTTGGAAAATGTTTTACCATTTTTGATGCATCAATTCATTTCGCTGCTGTTTTATTCACAAAAACGCAAAACATCCAATGTGATTACAAAATGAAAATTTAATCATTTTCCGGGTTATTTTCGGTGATATTATATCTTTTTTTTTTGTTCAGCAAAACTATACACACATGCTATGCCAAAAAAAATGTGTTTACTTTTTACCGTTTTTAAAATGTCGACGACAAACACTACTCATTGCATTATGATATATACGGTACAGTAGCATTTTTTGAAATATCAACGAACGTAAGCGATCACATAGACACGAAAAAAAATTACATTCGCTAAAATTGAAAATACAGATAAAGAGAAAATGGTTCGTTTGCAAAAGACTTATTTTCAAACGCATATAATAGCACATATGCGATATAATAATAGCACACTAGATACAGAGAGATTGAGAGAAAAAAAAAGAGAGAGATGAAGTTGGCAGGCCAAATGGCGGCATCGGCGGCGGCAACTGTATATGCCAATCCATCGAGAGAATCTAGTCTCTATCATTCAAATTTCCGTGTATGTTACAGAACGAAAAACAAACAAAAAATAAACAGCAACAATACATTTACTGTTTGCTGTGTTATTTTCTGTTTGCATAACGTACAATGAAAAAAAAAAAGCAACGAAAATAAAAACAACACGCTGGTCGGTAGAGAACATACATATATCGAGAGAGAAAAAAGTAAACTCGTTTAAACAATAGTGCATTCGATATTGCACATGCATTCCACTCAGAAATATCCGTTTTTCATTTATGCTCTTTTTTCCCTTTCTCTTCATAGCGTATGCAATGTTTTTTTTTTTCATTCTCCTCTCGATGTTCACTGTCGCTACCGTTCGTGTACTTTTTTTTCTCTCTCTCTTCTCTCAACTCTGATAGCGTTCGATGTTTTTTCTTCCTTTGTTTGGATTATTCGCATAGTATAACATGTCTACCAGCCCATCTAGTCTATAGTCATATTTAAGCCTGGCAAACATAATTAATGCTTGACTATTTAAAACAAAAACAATGCGAACGAGCGAGCGAATAAGCGAGAAGAAAAGAACAGAAGCACACACAAAAAAAAATAAACCGAACCGAATGATGGACGAAGAGAAAACCGTGATCGAAGCAAACCGTGAACCAAACACACAATTCACCTCATTTGTGTAACAATTATACATGGGGAAAACGATAATTTTCTCGTCGATTTGGTATGCGTTTCTGGTTTTATGCTCTTTGTTTGTACTACGGTTATGTGCGAGCATGAATTGCGAGAGAGAGAGAGAGCAATGAGTTAGTAGCCCTGTTGCGGTCATTAAACGGCCAAGTGCTTCCTCTCTGTTTTATGCTCAGACTCCGTTTTGAATATTTTCGATTCGATGGGTTTTTCGAAAAATATGTGATGAATATCGCTACAATAAGAATGTTGAATAATATCCATGTTTAATACATTATTCTCGTTTACTGAAGTTTAGAATGAATGCGAACGTCGAAAATCCGATCGATTGAAATCCATCGTACATAGATTTACATTTTTGTAAAACTGATTAATCGATTTGAGGTCACAATAAAATGTGTATGAATACTGAAATCGATTCAAGCTTCTTCTTTCTCCACTTATCTTTTAAGTGGTTGAGATTGAACACTAAAGAGGGTTATCAAATGCTATTACTTATAGTGCGCTATTCTATTTTCATCGGAAATAGTGCGCGCAGCGCACACACACACACACACACACACACAAACACACCTAAACTTATGCACAACAAAATTTGCAACAAACGAATCGGCACTACGAAACTAATGTGGTTAAATTGATGACCTGTAACCTGTTTGTGAGCACTGAACTACACTCGTTATTTTATTTATTAGATGCACCGATCGAACAAGCAAGCAACCGACCAAAAGAATCGACCAGAAATGTAGAGAACGTTATAAATTATGCTAAATACTTGCATCCACACAATGATGATGATGATGATCGGATCCATTGTTTTTTTATGGATTGAATTGAACAATTCAGCTCAGCAATCAAGTACCACCTCTACTATTCAGCCTATTGAGCACATGTGTATGTTTTTTCGCTTATATATCTTTTCGATCGTGTAACAAATTCAAGCGAAAAAAGAAAAATGTGTTCAAATTGGTTGCACGATTTCAATTCAATGTATGCCGATTCTCCCTGTCTATTTTCCATTTTTATCTCTCTCTCTCTCTCCTCTCTTTGTATATAGCCACAGTAAAATTGCCAGCGACATTGTCTGTCCCGTTCCGAAAATAGTTGAGCCAATTGTCTATTATAAATGTGCATCGATTTAGTCCATTCTATCCGATCGATTTGGACGAGGAAAATGCGTGAGCGATTTTAAATTGCACATATATATTGTTTTTTTTTTCCCGTTTGATTCGTGCATATTATCTCTCTGTTGTCGGCGTACACGTTTTGCGGTCAAAAAGTGTGGCGACCATATATGCGTAATATGGGTTTGGGGGTTCATTTAAAATGCAATCTATTGTAATACTTTTGGATTTTAATGAGCGTAATTGTTTCAGTTTTTCGAATAAAATGGTCGAATTCATTGTTTGATATTTTGCATGCATTCCATAATCTATTTTCGGAGAAAGAGAATTCACATAACATTTTATTTAAAACAGATTGCACAATTTATTGTGTCTATTGAAAAATCCGGTTATTCAATCGATTGTCAATTGTAATTATATACGCAAACGATTAATTTCGCCGAAAATAAGATAATGCATGTGAACGTGTGGTGCACACGTTTCAATCGATTCGCATTCACGTTGTTTTCATAACTCATTATATTCCTTTGCGCTGTGTATGTGTGTGTGTGTGAGTTTGGCACTCGCCAAAAATGAATAAAGCCGCTTATAAATTAAAGCCATTATAACAAAAAGAGCGCGTTTGGTATTTGTCATATTGACTGCGAGA